TTTGTTGTTTTTTTTTTGTTTTTTTTTATACATGCCTAGATCTGGCAAAAACATTTCTCAAAGTGTATTTGTTTTGCCAATATCTTTCCACTGTCAATTAATAGATTCTCTTCGCAGGAACATGATGATCCTATGGCTTACATCCACTTCACTGCTGAGGGGGAAGTAACTTTCAAATCCATTTTGTTTGTTCCTAATTCTGCTCCACGTGGCCTGTTTGATGAATATGGATCCAAAAAAAGTGATTTTATAAAGGTAAATTAAACAAGTGTTTTGATTCTGGTTTAAAAATAATTAAAACCTCCATAATAACCTGATTACTGTTTCTCTTATTCAGCTGTATGTTCGAAGAGTATTCATCACAGATGACTTCCATGACATGATGCCCAAATATCTCAACTTTGTTAAGGGTGTTGTAAGTATCGTATGTTAGTTGTATTTGACTTCAGTCTTCAAATATTGTGAGCAATATTTAACAAGTATCTTTTTCTATTAGGTGGATTCTGATGATCTTCCTCTGAATGTATCTCGTGAAACACTGCAGCAGCATAAGTTGTTAAAGGTAAGCTAATTAGATCATAAACTTTCTCCTGTGAGTAGGCAGGGACTAGTTCAGAATGAAAATATGTAACAGTACCAATATTTGACAGATAAATAGCTTGCTCAATTTAGCTTAAAGTAGGAATATGAGGTTGAAAGTACAGAAAAGCCCAGCTCTGCTGTTTTTGGACTACCTCTGCTTACCTCTAAGTCAAGGGGAATTAAGCATCCCCCTCATTATGAGATGAGTAGGATTATTGTGGCAGTAGCCAAGAAAGCAAAAGTGGTAGGTGGTACCTGAGAATATCAAAAGCTTATTGCTAAAGCATGGTATTAACACTTTGTATTACTACTATTTTGGGGTTTTTTTTAGGTGATAAGAAAGAAACTCGTTCGTAAAACTCTTGATATGATCAAGAAAATTGCAGAAGAAAAATACAACGACACATTCTGGAAAGAATTTGGAACTAATGTGAAGCTTGGAGTGATTGAGGATCACTCTAATCGCACACGACTAGCTAAACTTCTTCGCTTCCAGTCTTCTCATCATGAAAGTAACCTTACCAGCCTCGATCAGTACGTGGAAAGGATGAAAGAGAAACAGGACAAGATATATTTTATGGCAGGTGCCAGCAGGAAGGAGGTACGTGAGCATGGAACTGAAAGAGGTGGAAAAATGTTTCTAGGCAAAAATATGGCCACTGTGAACTGTCTGCATTTGCTATGAATGCCAAGTTATTTCATGGTACTGCTACAGTTCAGACTTTTCATATTGCTGCTCATCAAAATACCTGTATGGTGTTCACTACCTGCTGATACCAACACGACTAAAATATTGTCTGTTCTGTTCTCTCTCTTCAGGCTGAGTCCTCACCATTTGTTGAACGCCTGCTGAAGAAGGGCTATGAAGTGATCTATCTGACTGAGCCTGTAGATGAGTACTGCATTCAGGCTCTGCCAGAGTTTGATGGCAAGAGGTTTCAGAATGTAGCTAAGGAAGGCGTTAAGTTTGAAGAAAGCGAAAAATCCAAAGAGAGTCGTGAAGCTTTGGAAAAGGATTTTGAACCACTCTTAAACTGGATGAAAGACAAGGCCTTAAAAGACAAGGTACAAAATGTTGGGCTGTGTAACCCATCTTTGCGTATGGTATTGTATTTCTTGCTGTAGCATTTGCCTTGTTAACCCCTTGGACATTAGGGGCATGATAACTTCTTCTGTCATCCTTATATGGAAGGCAGTACCAAGTTGGGTAAAATACCTTGTGACTTCGGGAAGATACTGAGCTACTACTGCTGTAGGGCTCTTGGATGCCACTCAAGTGGCCAGGTGAAATACAATTTCAGAGTTGTTGGCTCCCTTCCATAATAAGAGCTTGATTCTGGGAACTAATATTGAGCATTTTTCTCTCTAGATTGAAAAAGCAGTGCTATCTCAACGCTTAACCCAGTCCCCGTGTGCCCTTGTGGCTAGTCAGTATGGATGGTCTGGTAACATGGAAAGAATCATGAAGGCCCAGGCTTACCAGACTGGGAAGGACATATCTACAAAGTAAGTAGACATATGTAGTAGGTTTTTTTTTTTTTTTTTTAAAAAAAAAAATGATAGCCCAGCTGGCTTGGGGTGATAGAGTTACTGTACCTGTACTCGGTATTAATGGAGTAGAAAGGTATAGTTGTCCTTTACAATATGGCTTAAATACCGAACTTTACTTTCAGCTATTATGCCAGCCAAAAGAAGACTTTTGAAATAAACCCCAGACATCCACTGATAAAGGACATGCTGAGGAGAGTCAAGGTAAATGAGTAACTGCAAAACATTGACTGTGTGGCTGTGTACGAGCTATTTAACAGTGTTTTGTTTTTATTTCTTTTAATGCTTCCCTGTTAGGAAAATGAAGATGACAAAACAGTTTCAGATCTCGCAGTGGTCTTGTTTGAAACCGCAACTTTGAGATCGGGATATATGCTACCAGACACCAAGGAATACGGAGATAGAATAGAAAGGATGCTTCGTTTAAGTTTAAACATTGACCTGGATGCAAAGGTTAGTTGCCTTCAGTTTGAAGGGTGACCCACCCTCCCCCTGGTCTTTAAAGTGGAGAAGCAGGGGTAGACTGCTTAAAAGAAGACTGAAGTGCATATGGCTTCCAGTATGCAGGTGGGCTGTCAGGAGACTAGCTCAAGTCCTGGCTGGGGGGATGAGACTTTCCTGGAAGCTCCTGACCTTCCCTTGAGATGATGCTCTTGTCATTGCCTTGTGTTAAAACAGTGCCTAATTCTTAACTAAATGGTGGCTATACAGGAATAATTCTGTGCAAGAATTTCTTGGTATCTTGCTGGAGAAACCATGGCAGTAGCAAGCATATATCAGTGGCAGAGAATAACTTGTTCTGCCCTTCAGAAAGCTTGGGGAAAATAGTCAAATGTGGGATCTGGTAATGAGTCTGTTCTAGTCAGTTCCCAACTAGCAAACATCCCAAGCCAATAGAGGTGTAGAACTATTGGGAATACATAGCAAGGTGCCTGTGACCCTCCTGCAGGTGGATGAGGAGCCAGAGGAGCCTGAAGAAGCAGCTGAGGAGGCAGAGCAAGATGAAGAGGAAGTGGATGCTGAAGAAAGCGAAACACAGAAGGTGAAGTGACTTGCGTGCAGTTTCGGCTCTGGTGCTTCTCGGTCACACACAAACCTGTTAACTTTGCTTTCCATAACTCCAGTAGTTGGCATGAGGTTTTTCCGAGTTTTTCTTGAAGTTGGTACAGAAATGGCCACTTTTTTCCTTAGCACAAAATGCTGTAAGCACGAAACAACTCAAATATGTGGTGACACTGCAGACTTAACTAAGTAGTTAGTGTTCTGTGTAGTGAGCCTTGACCCTGCTGCTTAATGTGTGCAGCTCTAATGATGTCTTGCTGGGTATGCTATATTCTAGTACTCAGGGGTCTGAACATGATTATCCTGTGTTGGTTCTGCCTGTTTTGTATTGCCTGGCTCTTAGATATCTGAGTCCTACAAGATCATCTCCAATTTTACATACTTGTTTGTGCCAATACTGTTCTTGAAAAGTTGCTTTTTAGGTATCCTGTGTTTCAGTACAAGTATTAAAGATGAAATGGCAAACTTGATCTGTTCTTTGCACCTGAGCAGTCTGAAATAAGACTTGGGTGGTTTTTTTTCCTCTTAGAGGATTTAACATGTCATCTGAACAGAAATTTGAGTGCAATTCTTTATTCAGAAGTTTTGTTACTTATGTGACTTGACAGTGTCAATAGTACTTCTCATGGGACAGCTTTTACTACCTTTTCATGTTTCAAAAAGTCTGATTTATCTCTCTTGTCTCAACAGGAATTCACAGATGTGAAAGATGAACTGTAAACTACACGCAACTACCATCCTGTGTTGGGAGCTAGGGAATGTGAATTAGATTGTTCTGTTTGTTGAGGGATGGTATGGGTTTAGGGGCAAAGGAAGTTTGTTTTTTTTTTTTTTTTCTTTTCCTTTTTTTAAGTTGACTTTTCTAAAACATTCCTCACGAATGTAAATTTGTACTATTTAACTGACTTCTTGGTGTAAAATCTTGTCATGTACAAAATAAAATGTTCCCAAACACCATATTAACCCTGTTACAGCGTAAGCTCATCTTGTGGGCTACCATTAAAAAGAATTGATGGGATTGCCCTGGGTTTGCTCGAGTGTTCAGGGCCACACAAGAAGCCTGTGGTGGTTCAGGGGTCCCTCCCCCACAAGTGGAAATCCTTTCACTGCTGTATACCTCAAGTTAGGTGTAGTCAAATCTGCCTTGCTTTTGAGCTGGAACACTTGTTACTTGTGAGCTACACCCCTCAACTGTGGAATAATGAGTTCCTAAGTTATGTGGCTACTGTCATCTTGAGAAAGCAGAGATATTTAAAAATAGATACGGTGTTGGAGTGGAGTCCTGCAGCTCAGTGTGAACCAGAGTGCTGTAAAGGAAGTGTAGTTGTAGCAGCCTACAGCCACTAACACTGGGCTAAATATAGAACTTGAGTCCTTAAATATAAGGGACAGGTGACCTTCATGTTAGAGACAAGTAAGAATGGTCTCAATCTGTCACAGGTGTGACAGAAAAGTGTCTTATTAGCTGAGATGATGATGTTCTTTACTGTGCAGCAACAGTGCCTCATAAGTTGTGTAGTTCACCTAAGAGCTAGTCCTCGTTTCTACAATTCTTTAATGCGGAGTCCTTGGCTGTGACAGTTACTTCTTAATGCTGTTGCCAGACTTTCAGCACTCTTACTCCTGTGTCTGGTGTGCGTGGTCTCTGTAAGTGCTCAGTCTAACCCAAGATCTGGCAGCAGATACCAAATGGAATACAATGTCAGCAGCAAGAGTGGAGGTACCACTTCCACTCATATTAGCTTTATGTGATGTTTGGATTGAGCACTGCATTTTGATCTTGTTTCCACTAGTGCCTCTACTTTGAAACAAATCTTCACAGGGGGTAGGTAGAAAGTGTTTACATGAAGTTTTTCTGCCATCCTTGAGTTCATGACTTGGAAGAGGGGCTCTCGGGGCATTCAGGCAAGAGCTTGAGCTTCTCACTCCGAAGCAAAATAAGCTAATTAAGGACCCGAGATTTACTTTTCACTTTATACTGCCCAAATAATTCTGTTCCTTTGCAATACATACACTTGTATCAGCATGGTTATGGAGTTAGGGTTCCTAGGGAGTTGTTTTTGAAGTGTGTTGTTTGAGACTTCCAGGAAGAATGGGAGCTTCCTAGTTTGGGGGTTTTTTTTATTTCAGGTTAGATTTTTTTTTTTTTGTCTCACTGCTGTGGTCTTCTGTATCGTTTCTAACAAATGGATGTTTAAGTTGTCTGGAGGCGTCTGCCTCGAGCACAGATCAGCAGCTAGCAGTGCATCAGCTTTAGTAGTAGTCCTTTAGTTTTTCATGTAGAGCAGCTACTCTTAAAAGTGCACTCCTCTTAAAACAGTCCAACTCATTGTCTTCTGTGCACTGTAGCAAGCAACTGCTCCTGAGATTTTGATTGTGTACTTCTAACTACACCTCATACCAAATCTAGAGCATTACAGGTTGGAATGTGAAGTATTTTTTCTTGTGTTAAAGATAGAGCTTTTCTGAAGTAGATAAGAAACGAATATACATCCTTCATCTATAATTTTGACCAGCTTGAGTAGCATGTGACTTGCACCTACTGTATGTTTAAGCATTTTTTTTTAATGGTTAATTGTAGAAGGGATATTCTTGGAAGAACAGTATTGTTTGCTACAGAACGTTATCTGTTAATTATTTGTCCACTTTAAGCAACCTTTGCTCTGTTCCACAGCTGAAGCTCTCACTGCCTTGGTTGGTTAGGATGCCATGTCTGCCTGGATTTCAGACCTAATAAAAGAGCACACACTGAGGGTCGTGGTTCATGCTTCTTCCTCTTCCTCCACTGTGGGTGTTACGTGCAGTCGGGCTGCATGCTGGAGCAACAAGTGTTGGCTATAAATAAGAACAGTGCAGCTGCACAAGCTTTTTGGCCAGCTTGGCAAAGTGCATCAGCACTGGATGAGCTGATCCCAAGAGGGAGGTGCTGGGGTTGTTTGTCCATGTGGTTATCCTGGTGCTGAGGAAGCTGCCTTTGCCTCTGAAATCAATGGTGTCAGTGCCGCTGGTCGGAGTGGGGCAGTCTGCCACTGCTCTTGCAAGAGCTTGGGGTAAAACCGATGCTCAGTCAGTGCTGCTCACTTTCCAACAGCAGGAGCATATGGGGCAGGGCTCTAATCAAACAGGGTGGTAAGTGGCTCTCGGGTATCCTTACAGCTCAAGTAGAATATAAACACACTGTTCATGCTAGAAGCTCAGAGGGGGAAGGACAGGATTCCCTGTCAGAGTAACTTGGGGAAAAAGCACAGAGGCCTCTTGGCTCTAGAAGGACAGATGAAACAACAGTTCCCAGTTCAGTTACAATTTAAGGGGAAACTCTCGCCTTGAAGAGAAACAAAATTGCTGAGCATCTTCTTGAGACTTTCTTGACTCTCAGAACAAGGTCTCTTAGATTGAAAACCCTGCACCTCAACCTACATTTAGGAGTATACAAACAAAGCGAAAGAAGAAAAAAGTATTTTCATCAAACTTGACTTAGTAAATACTCTTTCTCTAGACTTAATTCTACCTTTAGTGCAACATTTGAAACTTCATCAAGGTTTCTTTGCTTATAAAAGTGTCTTTCAGACAGGAAGCCAGGGGTCTTCATTAGGCGGCAGCGTGCACACTAACATGCATATGGGCACACAGGAGCAGGAGAGAACTCATCCCACCCCACACAGCTCCATCCCTACCCCCTAGACTTTTTTTTTTTTTTTTTCTTTTTAAACAGCATATTTGAAGGGGCTCATAATTTCAAGAGCCATGTTGAAGCTTGGACACCCAAATGGAGTGCAAGTGTACATAATCTAAGCACAACGTGCGCATGCTTAGTCAGCCCATTTTAACTAATATGACCATGATGTCAGATCCTTCAGTCTTACGAGCGGACCAAAATAATTGCCTATTAAAATTACAACGTTCACGTATTTGCTCCTAAAGCCACAGCAGTAAGAGTTCAAAGCAAGTGCTCTAAAAAGGAATCTTATTGCATATGCAGTAACTTTCTAAATTAGATTCTGTCTTGAATCTAAGAGAAGAGAGTTCACATTTTAAAAACAGTGAGAAAAAAAGATAACAGACAAGTAGGGTTCTGCTACTGCAAAATGAGTAAGCTTCTTAAGGCTGATGAGGGTCCATAAAAGCTTGACTTTTTAATGTACTGAGCATTCTATACATGATAAGCAGCTTAGAATTTTAAACCTTTATCAGACACAGCCACTGTAAACTTTTTTTTTTTTTTTTTTTTTTGTTCAGAAGGATACTTACATTGCAGTCAAAGTCAGAAGCATGGTGCACAATTCATTGGACTTTTAACAACAGTATTCTTAGTACATTTAGTTTTACACTTCCTGTAATGCTATTTTTTAAAGAGACAGGAAAACAGTACTAAGGGAATATAGTATTTCATAGACAGATTTCTAGTAAGGATTGCGAAGTCCTTTAAGATCTTACTGGAAAACTGTTGAATTCATTTCGCAGTCGAAACAAGTACATAATATTAACAGTTTGTCTTCACAACTTAAATTGTGATCAGTGCTGTGAAGTTTGAACTTGTCTTGATCTTTCTTTTAAACCCAGCAGTTCTGTTCTCAGTTCTCCGGGTTTAGGAGGTATTTCAGGTATTGTCTGTTAAAAAGAGATATCAGTGCTTGAGCAAGAAAAAAAAATAAATAACATTAAGCTAACACACCCTTTAAGGGACATTTACTACATCCACATGGTAATTGTATTTTGTTCCTTCCTGAGCAAATACTGTACATTTTTTTAATTTAAAATTAAGAAAATATAATTTGAAAAAAAAGCAGCTAGAGTTTCTTCTCATCATATGAGAACACAAGTACTGCTGAGATGACCAGTATGTTTTTAAAACACTCACTGAAGCTTCCACATAAATTCTTCCTCTCAATGACAGAAAAAAACAAACTCACCATTTTCACATTCTGGTTTTAGAAATGAAAAACTGAACCTAGGGCCAAATTAGCACACTGCATATATGTATATACACGCACAAAGATAAAAATATACGAAGAATATATGAACAATCAGCCTATTAAACTGTAATGAGTAGAACTGTTACAACTGTTGGAAACATAAATTCTTTGGTGTACAAATACATTAATGAGAAAAAAAAAAAAAACACATTTCAGATGTTTGCTTAAGCATAGTGCTGTTTTAGTTTATTCCTGATTAGAAAATAGCACAGTGCCAAGTGTGCAAAAGCAAGGGGAGGAGGGAAGGCCTCCAAGTGAGACGGCCTCCAAGATACCACATCAGCCACTGCACTGTCTGCATGGTCTCAGCTGGACTTCAGTTCTCTGTGATTCAAATTTCAGTCAAATTCAAATTTTGACTGTCTGAGATTCTCTACCATTAAACCATTGGTCATCTCCATTTTTATTAGGAAGAGAAATAAGTCTGATTTATTGATCTATTTATTTTTCTTGCCACTCTACCTCTTTCAGAAAAAGCTTCCCACAAACAAATCCTCTTCTGAAAAATTGTATGCAGCTACATTAAGTTTTTTATCACTTTCTTCATTTGAAGGAGGCTACCAAGCAAAAACCTAGATACCCAATACCCGTTTGCCTCTTGCCCCGAGGCTAAGTATTAGCTGCATTTTCTTGCTTGTTTTCTTTGCGATTTTTGGCAGCAGAACCACGGTGTCTTTTCGGCAAGAGCCGCGCAGAACCCCGCGCTCGGCGCGCACTTACGAGGTCCGGCCTGTAGTATCTGTGCACGACCTCGGCGCCCGCGAACATGGCGAGCAGGCTGGCGCCCAGCGTGCGCAGGTAGACGGGCCAGGACACGCCGGCGGGCATGACCGGCCTGCGCGAGACCCAGCCGCGATGGCACCCGCCGCCCCCCCCTCGCAGCA